TTATTTGTTAGACTTTTAAAGAACATATTTATATAAAATAGTTAATGGTTAGTAGTTTGGGACATGTTTAGTATAAATTTAAATAACTTTTATTAGTCTGTTGAATGACTTTCTTTCTGCAGTAGGCAGTAGCCATATTATTCAGTATAATATAATTTTGATTTTTCAATCAGATACTTGTGCAGTATAAATACATACGTATCATATGGTAGATAGTCCCAAGACCATCCACCCTTTTACACATTTGGTTGAAAAATAATTTGGAAGATTTTAAATTGTGCTTTTGCTTGAAAAAGTAGAAAATCAATCTGAATAGCATTTTAATGCAGTAGCCATATTATTCAGTATAATATAATTTTGATTTTTCAATCAGATACTTGTGCAGTATAAATACATACGTATCATATGGTAGATAGTCCCAAGACCATCCACCCTTTTACACATTTGGTTGAAAAATAATTTGGAAGATTTTAAATTGTGCTTTTGCTTGAAAAAGTAGAAAATCAATCTGAATAGCATTTTAATCTGATTTTTGTAGGCTATCTTTACAGAGCTTATGATAGTAGTGATTTGGGTTTTTAACTGTTTACATTTCATTATCTATAGAATCATCTAATGAGATTTTATTTCTGTAGCTGTTTTATCTTCATATTAATGTTAACTGTGGTTAATTAAAAGTCATAGATGAGTACTCTACATCTGCCTGTGTATGGTAATGTTCTCACATTCATGTACTCCCTGTGCGTGGTAATGTTCTCACATTCATGTACTCCCTGTGTGTGGTAATGTTCTCACATTCATGTACTCCCTGTGTGTGGTAGTGTTCTCACATTCATATACTTACTCTGTGTACCCTTCTGAAATACAGGTGCACCCTTGCCACCTGCAGTGAGCTATGGCAGTGCAAAGCAGTCATTTAAAGGGGTTTACATAGGATGAAGTTCCAACCAGTTGAATTTGAATGTAATGTGAAAACAGCAGATTATGTAGGATCTGGCTACTTTTTGTTATCAAATGTTTTACTTGGAGAAATAATGTATTTCTTACTATTATCTTACGTGGAAAATGCACAATCTTTATGGCTTAGCTTGAAGTACTAATGTAAATTCTTTCAAATTCCAGTGCAACCAGCTTATGTAAAATAATTACTGTTGTTTTAGCTTTTTTGATCCGGGCTGCTGAGGCTAAGGAGCAAAATCCTGATTAATTTTTATATGGGTATAAATGCTTGCACATGTTTCTCTATAAAATTTCTGTGGCTTTTAAAATAGCCAGAGCCTGAGTTGTGAAAGTAAAATTATGGCAAACAAGACACTTTTAAATTAAAGCATAATAGATGGAAAGAACAACTTATTTAGACTTCTGCATTAGCCATTTTGTAGATAGTTACTGTGCACAATTAATATGTGAGAGTAAGATACTGTGTAAGTATTCTTACCTATATTCATTTTTGAGGATTTTATCCTAAGCAAAGCACTGTTTTCTTTTTTTCTTTCTTTTTTGAGAAAGAACTTTGTACGTTCTATACCATTTATTCCATATGGGAATTACTCAATTCACATCTAGGATAAATCTGGCAGCTTGTGCTTTTCATAGTTACGAAGTGTCTGTGTCTAAAGACATGACCTACTTACAGGGAACCTCTGGGAAGCTCTGGTAGTAGTATTTGCAGCAGTGTTCCCAGTCATTAAAGGCAACTGTGCTTTATACCATCTTCACCTTCAGGGGTTTGTGGCTTTGAGAGGTGGAAGGAGTTGGAAAGGAAATGAAAGTTCCTTTTATGTGGGCCTTGGATTTTTATATTCTATGTATATGCTTTGGACATATTCTGTGTATGTGATAAAGCCAAATTTAGATTAGTTTCTTTGGCAGAAATACTTTTAAACTAGCAAGACATTCAGTTTTTAAGTAAAATAGACCTGTAGAAAATTTGTTTTCTTGTAATATGTTTTAAAAAGCACTCTGTCCATGTAAATTGTCAAACTTACCTACCTCAGTTGCTGATGTATTTCCTTATTGTCATTTTAATTCCTGTGGTGTGTTCTATTATCTGTTGCTCCATAGCGTATTTCTCCTGAAAGGCAGCGTCAGTGATCACTCTCATAGCTCCTCTGGCTCAGGAATCTGAGCGAATCACCTCTGACTTAGGTCTTCCACAGTGCTGCAGCCAAGGGCTGTAATGGCTTCAAGGCTTGACCTGGAGAGGAACTTCTTCCAGGCTCACCCGTGTGGATGTCGGCTAGATGGACATGTTTCTCTCTCATTGTTGATGATGCCTTTCTGCCATTTTCATATCTGGTGGTGTTTTTGTGTCACTTTTGAGACCTTCCTCCTTTATGGTTTTGTTTTTCTTTTCTGGTACCCTTATCAAACCAGGGCCTCTTGTGTGCTAGGCAGTCTTTCTACAGCTGTTCCACCGAGCTAAGCCCTGCAGGGCCCCAAGTTTTTCTTTTTACTTTAAGATACTTTTTCAGTGATGTGCCTAAATATGATTTTCTTTGCATTTGTCTTTGGTGTTTGTGAAAAATTTTTTTAAAAGCTTTATATTATGCCTTCTACCAAATTTGGAAAAATTTAGACCATTAAGAAAAGTATTTTTGCCTCCTCTCTCCTCTGCTTCTGGTTCTAGTGATGTCTGTTAGCCTGCTCAGAAGTCACCACAGGTGACTTAAATGTGTGGCAGCCATCTGTTTTGCACATTCAAAAATTCCTACTGGTTTACCTTGTTTATTGACTTTTTAGTCTGCTCATTCCATCCACATAAACTATAATAGCTATTTTTTTTTTTAGTATCATTGCTTAATGTCAACATGTAGGCTTATCTACAGTGTGGGTATCTAATGATTCCTATTTCTTATGGCGTACTTGTGATTGGTTCACAGTTGACAGTAAGATTCCAACATTACACTGAAAACTAATTATATCTTTGTAAAATTTTAGTATATACTTCCTCCACTTTTTAACATACTCTGAATAGCCATTTTAATAAGAATGTTTCCATGTGTTGTTCAGCTGTACACACTGACTCTCTGTGGACACAGACAATTCTAGGAGAATGGTGTATTTATAAACACTTTTACTGAACAAGCTATGTAGCCTCTTCTGTGCTTTTAATTCTTTGGTGTTTTCATGTATCTGTTCTTTCTTGTCTTCTTGTAAGTCTCACAGTGCTCTTGTACACAGGTGTTTCAATATGATCTTCCCTTCTTTTACAGGGCATCATCTCTACAGTCCCCTTCATCCAAGTCATTCTGGGATTTCTTACTAGAAGAAAAAAAGTCTATTATTGGCCATAGTTCAGGTGATCAAGATCATGTCAAAAAAGTTTGTTTTAAAGGAAATGAAAATTCTCAGGCTCTAAATGTTGTAAGGTAATATATTTGAAACTAATATATTAAAATTCTGTGGTAGTTTCATTCTCTGAAAAGATCTAAAAAGTTTATGAGGCAGACTGTACAGCTGCTTGTGCACTCAGAATTAAAATTAGCATGTTTATTTCCTTTTCTTCATTTTTATTTGTTTGTAGTGGTTTTGGATGTATTGGGTAGTATTTATAATAGATGGCATGTATTAGCTTAGAGTTTGAAATTGTGGCCTCTGTCTCCACCCATAACTGTGTCTATTTCAAGGAAGTGAGCATAGTCACTGCTCCCGGGTGTTTCTTTGCACCTCTTCCTATGTTACCAGCTGTGTGTTTTAGAATTTTATGTCCAGTAGAACATGTAGTGTGTACCCTTTCATAAAATCTTCTTTAGTGTAAATATTTTGAAAGCCATCCTTATCTATATCAGCAGTTGATTCCATTTGTTTGCTGGAGAGTATTTCTTTATATGGCTGTACACACAGTCTATCTGTGCATCTCATACTGAACTTTGAATGTTTCAAGTTTTTACTCTACCTGTTATTTATTTACTTAGTTGTTATTTTTTGAGTCAGAGTCTCATAAGTGAGGTTAGCTGGAACTTCTTTTGTAGTCTTGAAATTGGGATCCTTCATCCTTAGTTTCCAGTGTGCTGGGATTACAAGTGCTTGCTACAAAACCTAGCTATCTTAGATATTTGTTTATACTGATTTTTAAAGATTCTTCATATTTTGGCTTTTTGAGATAGGGTCTCCCTGCAGCCCCAGCTGACCTGGAACTCACTATGTAGACCAGACTGGCCTTACTCTCACAGAGATTCTCTTGCTTCTGTCTCTCAAGTGCTGGGATTAAAGGTGTGTGCCACCATGCAAAAAGCCAAAAAAAAAGCCCAAAGATTCTTCATATTTTAAATGCCTACACAAAACTTGAAAATCTATCCATAATTTAACAGCAGTATTTTAGTTAAAATACCTTCTTCAATATGGTATATACATTTTTCTTTCTTTTTGAGACAGGGTCTCAGTCAGTCTGGCTGACCTCAGACTTACTGTGTAACTGAAATATCTTGAATTCCTGATCCCTCCTCCAAATGCTGGGATTGCAGGCCTGTGCTGTCATACCTAGTTGTAAATTCCTAGTTGTACCTTAAAAGGTAGCTATCTTTACTAACTAGGAGGCAAGTGTTAGAAAAAATAGTTTCAAATTGGTTGGCTTAATGAAGATTTCTTATTTTGTGAATATGCCATCTCCCCAAAATGTTAAGCCCTGTGTCACTTGTGGCCAGATTAATGTTTTATGTAATGATAAACATTATTTGTGATTTGTCTGGTTGTCAATCCCTTTTTCTCCCTGCCTATAAACGCATTTTTTTAATTAGATTTAATAAATGTTTATAGCATATTTCATCCAACAGCTGTGGAATATACATTCTTTTCAGCAGTCCAGGTAACTTTTTCTAAAATAAATCACATTTTTTTTATTCTTATTCTTTTATGAAGTTAGTTAAAAATTAATGAACAAGAAATTAAAGAGACTGCGCTGCAATTAAGTTAGAATATTCTAACTGAAAAACAATTACTGTGAAACTATTTACATTCTCATAGAATTATAAACATTTCTCAAGGAATACTTTACAGCACAACTTTTTTTTTTTTTTCATACAGAAGAATTTATTCCAAAGCAATTGACATTGAGATGTTTTCACATGCTTTTCTAATCTCTATATACATGACTATCACTGGTCACAGTCGCCCACCTTCTGAGCTCCTCGGCATCTGAGCATGAATACAAACTCGTCAGATAGACAGCCTTCCTCTCCCACTAGAGGCTCCATACTCTGCCATCCCTGTCACTGTCCACTGTGTTGTCAGCACCCTCATCCATTCCCCCCTGTCTGCCCTTCTGGTAAATCTAGTCAGCAGTGAAGAAAAATAATTATCAAGGCTGTAGTGATCATATGAAACCTTGGCTGTATCTTTATCCCAAATTGATTTGTTGTAAGGCTCAGTAAAAGCTAAAATGTAAACACAGCTCAGCAATGGTCAGGGGATATGGTGGGCATGCTTTAAATGGGAGAGATGCTGAGTTCTTTTCCCCTGTGGTGTTTGGAAAGGTTCCTGTCCTCTCCTTTCCATTTTAAATGTGAGTGCATTTATTCTCTCTCATTTCTTCACATTTCCAGCTTTTTATTTTTATTTTTTATAAAAGTAGTGGTGCCCAGAACAGAAGCGTTAATCTATTGGTAGCCTGATGTGGGGCAATTAATTAAAGCTTTAAGTTAGGATCAATTTCTCAAAACCCCACACTCGGTAATGGGCTCTAAAGCTGCCCATTCGAAAGGGAAGAAAAAAGGTACATACCTAGCGTCTGGTTATAATTTGGTGCCATCACAATAAGGCAATAATAATTCTAGTTGAGGATTGATAAGGGCCCCTTCTGGTGAATGCCTCATTTTCCTTCTGTTGATCAGAAGCCTGATGGCAAATTTTTTAAATGACTTGGAAGACACAGCATTATACTGAGTATGATAGTCTCCCTTTTCTGACAATTTCCAAAGTTAGTATATCAGTATTTTCTTTTCTGACCACAGGATGCAATGTATTTATTGTTCTCAGACTTGTCCTACCTGTCACTCTGGTTATGCTTGAGACTTGAGGTCTGAGAAGTTCATTCCCAGTACAGTTAGAGTTAGCCAGGCTGTAAAACAAAGAGGTAGAAACCCTGCCTCAGGAGGGGATGCCAAGGCAGGGATTTAGATTCAGTGAAGATTTTCAACTCAAACACAATGGGAATAAAATAGGTTTGGGAAAGATGGAGTCACTAACATTGTATAGACTATGAAGGGAGCATTCTGTTCACGAAGTTTCCAGATTTGGGAGCGATTCCAGATGAGCTACTTAAAAACAGTTTTCAAAAATTTAAGCTTTGGGCAAGCCTTGTTATTCTACCAGAGATGTGTCTTAAGTTTGTCTCCCCCTCTGTGTGTCTCAGAGTTTCAGGGCACCGTTCCCTGTGTTGGTACTCAGATGCTGCTGCTTTCGTGACATTGTCTTACTGTGCTCCTTGGAGGGGCACAAGGTCTCACAATTAGTAGAAGTTGCCAAATCTGCTAACCAAAGTAAATCTTCAGGAAATCTTAGGTATATGTCTTCCTTAATTAGTTGAGTGCCTGTTCATCTATGATTGGATACATCACAGATGTATACCCACAGAACAGAGGAGAAGCAGAAGGATATATGAAGGATCACCTAACTCACCAGAAGGGAAAGTAGCTGAAAAAACACTAATTATACCGTGGATAGATACATTAATGTTTGTATTACTTGAACCTGGGTAATTCAATAAACAAATGAGTTTTATTTTGGTCCATGGTTCTGTGGTTCAGTTCTGAGGTTGAGCATCAAATTTGCTGATTACTTTCCTGCTTGCAGAGTCCCATTCAGTCTCTAGGGCATCACAGCAGAATCAGGAAGTTTGTGTGTGTCATGTTCTCTTTGTAATACCACCAGCACTGAATAAAGGGGACTCCAGCCTGATGACTTTTTCTAACCCTAATCATTCCCCAAATCTCCTATTTCTAAATACTGGATTTGGATTAAGTTTTTACTTACTACTATGGGGGTTAAGATACAACATGATTTTCAGAAGGAATACACCAAAGCATTATGCCTCACCTTTACCAAGCAGCTCAGTTCCACATCACTACTTAAAAGAATTATTAATGAAAGTTAATACTATTTTAATAAAATGTAAAATATGTTTTAAAAGTGTCATCATGATACCAGCCAGAGGGAGGTGGCTGTTACATTTCTGGGGGGAAACACATGCTCCTGCTAGTGCCTACTCTGAATAAACTACATTCTTTTTTCATTTTTCATTTTCTGTGCTTTATCATTTCTCAATCTTTTACTGATCTAACCAATTCTCATATATTTGGAATCCAACACTTTCTGAGTTTTTGCAAAGAGTAAATGTGTCAAGGGCTGACCCTTGGGGTTTTTTTTTTTCTTTGTTTCTGGTCAGATTTTTCCCACACAGCGACTGGAATCCAGGGGACCCACACTCATTCTGCTCGTGTGTTTGCTATGGACCAATCAAGGCAAACGCCCCTTCTTCCTGATCATATGTGTGCTTCTGAATGGAAGAAATGCATGAATTATGTATTAAGATCAGAGCTATATTTTTAAAATGCTCCTTAGTGGGACAGCATGAGAAAAAATATGAAAG